GTATATTATGCAAGAAGTGCGGTGAACGGCATTTGACTCACGAGTTTATTTGACACTAGCAGAGCGCAGCGGAGCAAGTATTTAATAAAACTATTATTAAAAATTTGAATGCAAAAATCGTTTTTTTTTCAAATCGAAACACTCTCTTTTTATAATTTCATCATGTTTGGTAACAAAAAGGTGATTGTGTAAAGGGTATATTATTTCAAAAGGTTGTAGATTCTCAATGATCACAAACCTACAAAAGGCACTGTTTAAATGATTAATTTAATGGTAATAAAATACTAATAAAAATCTCATGTATCCATCTTTTTTTTGAAAGCTGTAAATAATATATTTTACCATTAGTATTTTCTCCATTATTTTTTTGAAAAATGTAGATTTGAGTTTTTTTGTATTAAAATGAACATAACATTACAAAATGGCTAAGTTAGGGGCATAAAACTGTCAAACATTGATTTCCAAACCCACAGCTAACCAAAATAGTGACGTTTCTGTATTATTAGACTGTTTTTTTCGCCATATTTCGTCGTCACCGCATTTTCACAATGAAAATAGTATATTATGCAACAAATGTGGTAAACGGAATTTAAGTCATGAGTTTATTTGACACGAGCGGAGCGCAGCAGAGCGAGTTTTTAATAAACGAGTGAGTTAAAAAATTTACCGAACGTGTTGCATACTATACTTTTTCTACGACCGTTAGTTTTTGGGTCCATTTTCGCAAAACAACACGAATACATTCACTGACATGACCGTCATAATTGACAAACGTCAAAATTCAAAGCGTGGGAAATATCTTCGAAAACATCCGATTGCTCCCAAATCCGTGCGGTAAAATCCCGGAAATGTCCGAAGTGGCTCGGATTCATGGGAAAGGAAACTGACGTGGTAAAGTGACGCTTCCTGCACGCTAGATCGGTGGGTAATTAGGTATTTTACAGACGGGAGTAGAAAAAGGTATTTACTTATCGTGGTCACAAAACAGGAAGCAGAACTCGGACAGTTTTTTCAATACTTCGGCAAGAAAGCGGAGGCGTAACTCATAATATTCGGACGCTATTATAGTGCATAATTTAGTTTTTTAGACTATGGAGTATAGAGTACATTAATACGTCATAATTCAAAGTAAGAATAATCAACTTTTTAGTAATTTTTATAACGAACGCTACATAGAGTGTTATTAGCCAGCAATAGCTTGTACCTGCGGTTCATTTCGTAGGCGTACGCGCGGGTACAATCAAAATAACGTCCAGCAAACGTGTTACTAGAAAGTTTTTTTCATCAAACGTCGGTTGGTTGTTACAAGGTGCATCGGGAATTGAATTCGCAGCTGGGCGTCAGAAATTACGAACAATTGTTCACAGAAAACAATATAAAAAAGCAACGCGCTTCTCGCGGTTTAGTAGATAATTTTAATTAAAAAGCAGTAAGTCTCTCATTATTGTAGCCGTGTAATGGTAATCATGTTTGCCGAATGCCTACGGATAAATAATGGTTTTGGGTTTGCTACATCCAGTGACCGCAACTGAATTGAAGAAAATGCCCACTGTTAACATTTTTCGGGTCAAATGTTATCAAATTATATAGAAAGTCGGAGTATTAGAGTCCAGCATCATTCTTCTAGTTTTAAAAGTTAAATAAATTTGATTAATTAATCAAATTAAATTCGATCAATAATTCCCAAAATTTAATATATTCGGATTCTCCATATGTCTCAAAATGTTTCAAAGTTTTGAAAAATTTAAGCAGATTGATGACATAGGTGTCCCATTTAGTTGCAAAAATACCGTTCATGCTTACAAAGAATTCGCCTGCGAAGAAGACTAGAGAGAGAGATTCCTAAACCGGAATACTTTCTTTTTTCTTTCTTGCGTTGACGGATGAATGGATGAACTAGTGGTCAGTTACGCTCTTCACTTTTCTAATTAGCAATGTCATGCATTGCGCAATATTCGGCTAATTGTAGGTCTCTTAAGTTTACCGCTCGCAGAAACAACTGTTATCAAAAAATAGCTTTTGTCAGAACAAAAGAGTGAATAGAATGTACATATGAGTGAAAGTACCTCAATTCGTAGGCGTAGGTTTTAATGGCATTTAGATTTTTTCTTTCAGATCAGTAAACTGGGATTGGAACAGTATTTATCTCAAATTTGACAAATTATGCTAGGAAAAATATACAAGCTTATACTTTGTTACACATAGTCGAAATTATACCCATTTGTAAGAACGTCATGCTGGTTGCCAAAAACGCATTTTCGTATAAATATTAGAAATTACAGGTGGCTTATTGGTGACATTTTCATTATATGGCGTTGGGCAAAAATATCACGTTTCCTTGATAAAATTAAGGCATCAGTGTTCTTTATACATGTTGAATTTTCTTTTTGGCCTTACCTAAAAATTTAGAGGCAACTTTCGACAAGTTAATAAACTGTTTGACCGACAGTATAAAAATGAATAAATATCTGACAGCCATGTTTTTCTTTATTGTCACCGCTGTTTGGAATATATATTAAATAAAGATAAACAAATGGTTGTAATTCCAACTTTACTTTACTTTAAGTACCGTGTTTTCACTGATTCGTAGGGTCCAAATGGTAATGGTTAAACCGTTGCTTTATGCTATTTTGCAAAAAGCACATAGGAGAAAAAGTATGTTTCAAAACCCAGCAACCTAAAGAAACGCACAACACGTGACTCGGCCTGTCGTTATGTTTGTATGGTGTGCCGCTCTTTAGAAGCTTAAAGTATTTCATTCATTTATATTATTAAACTCACAAAACTATACAGTGTTCTTTAAAGAACATGCGGCGAAGTTCAACTAGAGATTCGTTATCTAAACGAGAAGAAAAAAGTCCATATAAAGGTTTAGTTTCCATGATATTGGCTGTCGAATATAAAAAGGTCTGTTTTCAATATTTATTTATTTTAATTAATTTTAATTTCACGGACAGAGTCCATTTCTACATAAAACTTAGAAAAAATGTTCAATTAAATTACAGGTTGATACAAAAGAAAAAACTAAAAGTAAAAGGCTAGGCTACAATCTCACAAGCTGAAAAGAGAAAAATAAATAACTAATGTGTATCTTATGTTATGCTTGCTTGAATCGGATTCCCCAACCTACCCTCAGTAGTGAAAAAGTCCAAATGCTCTTTCTCATTGGCCAGCCGGTCCGCCCTTGCGATGAATGTATTACGTCCATAGGTGGTACGGTACAAAAAATGTGCTATTTAGATGAGTTATTCGTATTGGTACCAAAAACCCAATTTTTGACAGAATGGAGGGACAATAAATTTGAACAGCAACATCAGGTCGGTTTCGTCGTGACAGGTAGCTATATCATTGATAAATATGAGACAGAATAGCGACCCTAAGTGAGAGCCTTGAAGCACCCCCGAAGTAACTGGAAAAGGTTCCGATAAGCAATTTCCAAGTCTAACAACCTGACGCCGACCTTTTATACTTTAGCTACACATTTTACCAAGGACCATGATTCACCCTATCAAACGTTTTGCAAAAATCCGTGTAAACAGCGTCAACCTGGTTTCTTGCCGCCAAAGCACCAGCGATTGAATATGATAAATATTTTCTCGACTTTGTTGAAAGTTTGCTATAAGAGATTAACATTGTCCAGTACCGCCACCCGAGATTTCTTTGAATATGCCACTAAAAACATTTTCCATAAAATTAGCAGCAAAGAAAATTATGAAAATGATTACAGCTTCATTGCACGCACGTAGCCTACGATTTTCTAACACTGTTACAAACTAAGTGTCACCTGACTTACGTTTCTTTAAAGTTTTTTTGTGAAACTCTATATGCAGTTTACAATTAAAAGAATAAGGATGGTACTCACAGTTTCTGACTTATGTTAGGTCACCGGGTCACCCTGTAGAATGCTATTTTTTATCAAAAAAGGGAGAAACTTAATCTCCGACAAATATAACAATTATCCAGCTATATCTCTGCAAAATTACTCTCTTAAGTTAAAATACTTGTATAAATTGTATCTGCTTAGGATTATTCAAAATTCAACAACGAACATTGTGGACCAAAATTAAAATTTTGGGTTTTTGGTATTAGCTTTTCGAGTCATATTGATGTGTTTTTTAGTAATTATTCATTTGGGTTTTTGATACCTTAATACCTTCTGAACTAATCAATCGGCAAATACCGACGACTATAATTGCAGCTTAACAATTAATAATATCGTTAAACATATTATAACAAAAATTCTAATTTTCGCTTCTTGTAATAAACTTAATAGTTTTTTTTTTAATTTTTAATTTAAAGCGCATCATGAAAAAAAAAAGAATTCTGCCAATATCATCAACAAAAAAGCAACGGACAACTTTTTCCCAGAAAAATTATTTTTTATTACACACACTTAAAGCCTGGAATAATGTAATGACGTTTATTTTATAAAAATACTTCACAACTTTTGTAATCTGTAATGAGCGTGATATAGGTATGGTATGGTAGAGACCAGAATGACTTATTACGAGGCCTTAAAACCTTAATTTTTGTAATGTATTTCTTCCAAATGTTTAATAATCTCATCATAATATTTTTGCTGTATACCATTATTTTATACTCGTATAAGTTTATTTTAGTAAATCACCGCTACGTATTATTAAGCAGGAAAGGGCAATTCACTCGAAAATGGCAAAATAACGCCAAAGGTGTTCCGAGAATTAACAACACACTTGTTTAAATAAATTAAGCCTGCGATGAAAAAGACAACCAGGCACCGTATTATTTGGTGCGTAAATAATTAAGTTATTACTTTATTTCAGACTTTATTGCTCTGTTAGTTTTTATGACAAAATTATTACAACGGGATATTGTTTTTGCGATAACCACATTATGAATGGGAAAACGACAATTAAAATTAATTACTTATTTTGTTGTGTAACACCGATTTATGCATTTTTGAGTTTGCCACAAAGGAAGTGAAATATAAAATGGATTTTGCGTTATGACGGCTTACTTACGTTTACGGGGAGAGATTTTCAGCCAGTCAGCCCATCGCGGAACCTGGAATAATAAAATAAATATAAGATTTTATCAAAAACACAGATTTGATTTAGAACGTTGCAAAATGGTCCATAATACAGGTGCATTAAGTAATTTAAAATTTAATTTAATTTTAGCTTATTTATCAAAGTTTACAGAATACTGCTATCGCAGCTTTATCGGCTATTAAAATCTTGGCGCCGAAACATTAATAAAAATAATATATGTTATACACAGTATTCCAAAAAACTTTCTAGGACAAATACAATATTGTAAAAGTACGTTCATAAATATGTAGCCTTCAGGTTAAACGGTTCAAAATACCAAACCTTATTTTTCCATAAAAACGGTATTCTTGTTTAAAGTAATAAAATACTTTTGGATTTATTTGAGCTTAATAAATTATTTTAAGTAATTTTTATATCTGAGAACAAACAACCTATATAATAATGATTGTTTCCGAAACAGTCATAAAGTACGAATACTTTAAATTACTTGGAACTTATCAACATTTTATCGTTCAGCTTTTTAAACAGTACTCTGTGAAAAAATGACCGAATTCCAATCCTCTGGTGTTATTTGCACATCTGTTAAATGTTGTCGGTATCAATGAGTTGAAATGGTTGCTAAAATTTCCAGATTGGAATAACTTAAAACTTGGGAAAAGAGCTAATAAAATAGAATGTTTTTCGACAATACAGCCACAAACAGCTTCAAATCGCTAAGAAAATATATTAGTGCATCTATCTTGAGAGGACGAAAATCAGGCTGGAGCGACGGAAAGTCAATCTACGGTAAATTCTAGATCACGATGCTATCATTCCAATAGAACCAAACATAGAAAATATAAAAATGTGCGTACCAAATGCAACAAATAAGTATCTCCAGAAGACTTTTTTATTCAAATTTGCCAAAATGATAGAAGTTTTTTGGGAAATAAATGTAAATAAATGTAAGATTACTTAATTTAACAAAAAAAAATACGATTAAAAACAGGGATGTCAGTCCTATGTGATATTTTTAAAGTCTGTCTATTAAACGGTATGTAAATTAACGTTATTTCTTAATATTCTACTTATGTTAGCAATTAACGGAGCGTTTTTTGAAACATCCGTTAAGAATTTTCATTTATGTGTTTATGGTTCCAGCTCTTAGTGACGTCAATTGTTAATTTGGATGAAATAAATGTTTAGTTTAGTATAACTTTGACCCTGTGTTCCCTGATCAAAGAAACCAATTATGTCCTATCTCTTTTACGAAAGCCGTTTGGTACTGGTTGACGGGGCTTATACCTCATACTTTAATTTGCAAATTATTGCGTATTTTGTAATTCTTAAAATGACACATCTGCAGATACATTTTGAATAATTTGCGCTTTTTGGATTTAGTTTTAATTTAATTACTTTTAGACATTTACTTTTAAACCCCATATATCATATTTTCAATGCACCTGTGTTCGCGGTGCTTTTACTTCCAGTACGCGTTGACTTTCACATAAACATAAATTATTTAGCTATCTATATGAGTTTGTCATATTGTCAGGAACGTATAAACTGCGAAATTAAAGTCAGCGTAAACTCGCGAATTTATTCGGATGAAACATCTGCGCGGTGCACTATGGAGAACGATTCTTCTTTCTTCCGCATTTGATATGGTTCAATTCGCTTGGAAAAAATTATTAGTCATAATCTTTGCCTTTCTCAAATTTTTCGTAGCTAAAATCAGTTATATTTAGGCAGTTTAAGCTGAATATCTCTGGTGCTATATGTTCAAGTCCAGGTACCCCAATTATTAAAAACATTTGGCCGCGTCAATAGTCAAAACTGTTAAGCGATGGTTGTCTGACCACAAGGTCAAACATTAAAAAATAATCACAATAATAATAATTCACAGTACTTTTCTTAATTGTTTGATCTTATGGCTGTGTTTTAATTAATTAATTAATTAATTAATTTATTGATTCGTTATTTTTTTACAAGAAAACTTACACAAAAGCTGTTCCATGCCAATACGATTTAACAAGAAATAAAAAAGAATTTTGAATTTTGTGTTCCCTCTTGCAAAAAGATAAATAGGAAAAAATTATCCGTTTAACAAAAGAAGATTAAAAATTAGGTAACAAAAAAAAAATAATAAAGTTCCTAAATCCTAAATATTCGCTTGGTATTGGAATATTCTAGTTGCTCATTGCGATTCATCAGTCAGCCGCCCCTGAAATGCCAAATTTTGATGGTGTCATAGAAGAATAGAGCACTTTTTTGTCTAAAGTACCAATCACCATTATTTATCTCATGTTATTTGTTAAATTTACGTTTTGATATATTTGGTTAGTCTTGGGGTTAGTGTGACTGACATTTTTTCTGTTCTGTTCTCCCGTTGCAGACATCTTCCAGTCTTCGTTAGGTGTAAAACACACCTGAATTTCTCGTATTTAGTTGTACTGAATTTCGGTTTTTGTGAGTTTATGAAACAAGAATTGCTTTTTGTGAATAATGCAGGTACTTTTGGCGCCAATATCGAAAAATATTGGAAAAGGACATTCAATCTGCGTATAATAATAATAAGACCCATTCGCAAAATTTGACAGTTTTCAATTTGCATTTGATTTTTTTTCTAGCAGAATATTGTCCAAATATGCTCAGATCCAAAGTCTAGGTGAATTTGTGAAATAATCGCAACTGTTATTGTTTTTATAATAGATACTTTTTTTATTAATTTGAATGGTATAACTATAATATTGAGTACTGAAGATAGTTTACTAACTCAATAAACCATTCGATTGCAATATTTATTTCGATATCTACTTCCCACTATTTTGATGATGAAATGTTCCACTGGCGGACAGCTTAGCCAGTCAAGATTTGGGTATTTCGTGCCAGATTATTCTGTCAAAATTCGTAACTGTCAAAGAGAAGGCAAGAATAACAATAGTAGTGTACTCCACACATTAAGCAGTGTAGAACCTTTCTAGCGTTTCAAGTATTTGTTTATTTAATAATTTAGAACACAAATCAGTTCTGAGAAAAATCACAAACATCCTAAAATGCCACTATAAATTGAGAAAACTTCGAAAATAAAAGCTACATTGACAGATTAATATTGGTCTGATTATTAAGAATATAAGAGTGTTAGGACATTAACCAAGCAGTAAGATAATGATTCATATTTTTTGTTTACCCGTTTCTGTTTCTAGGCGTAATTAATTGTGTGATTTGACAAAAAAAATTGTCAATAGTATGTAAGTTTAGATATCACTACTTCTGTAGTTAACTAAGAACGTTTGTTGGATTCTTACTTGAGAGCTTTCCATGTCCCAAAGTGACTATCGCAGAGGTCCGTTAGTAGGCAAAACTGTGTTTGCTAAGCATATAACTGAATATTTCGTCACTAAATATTTATTAAATTGTTTAAAGTGTCAGCATTAATTTAAATTGATATATGGCTACCTAAAGCAGTTAAATATGGGTAAAGTAATAACTTACAATGTCTAGTAACGAATCGCGCCTTCGCAAAAATACCGATAAGAGATGCCAATTTGAATAATGTTTCCACTAAGTGAGAACGTCTTGCGATGCACTTCCCAATGATATACGCGTCGGGCTTTATGTATTGCGATTTTTTGCGCAGTTATACGTTACTGGAAAAAAATGCCTACGGAATATTAATAACGGTACCGGTGAAAATAAGGTTTCATTTCTTTTAAACCACTATCCAAAATGTAGCGAACAGCTGAAATAGGCACACTTTTCGAAAATTTCAAAGATCAGTAAACACTGACAGACAGACATGACAAGTAAAGGCGCATTTTATGCCAGCGCAAAACTTGAAGCTTTTATATCTTTTTTTCATGTTCCCTCTGCTTTTCGGCTATTGAAGGTGACTTCAGTTATTGATTAGTATAGCATAGCATATATAATAAAAAATATTAAATTCAAGAAACGGGGCGACAGCCTTTACTTGGCCTGAAAACAGGCTACAATTCATGCTTCATATGTCTATAAGTAAAATATAGGGTGAGAATTTGAAAAATCATCATCTATAACAAAGATCTAAGTAAAACCCACAAAACTGTTTTGACTGACGCTGCTTGCGAAACGATTCGGCGACATTAAAGGAACAATAATCAGAGGTGAGCACAACCTTTGTAGATATGTCAAATACCGGGCATTGTATGCTAAACACGAATCAGAAAAGTTAATAATCTATTATATGGCACGTTAAATTGCACAACAGAAAAAGCGTTGGTATAAGTAAGTGGAAGTAAACATTTCTCTGTGTCTTAGTAACAACAGAACAATTACACAATTAATAACAACGGAGAATTCGCTACTCTTGGTTAGTTACACCAAATTGATACTCCTTCAAATTATTTTCTAAATTAAATGAAAATCACGAAGAAATGTGTTACCTTTGTTTGCAATAAATATGACGAATAGACACACACGAACGTAGTTGTTTTCCTAAAAACGAACTTTATTCATGTGACAAAGCACACTAGGCTCACACTGACATTTAGAACTAGGTGTACATGTTATTGTAATTAATCTTTTTGATGATCATTTGGGCAATTTGACATTTTTTTAGTTAAGCAGACTGCTTTGAGCTGTTACATAAGCGGCATAATAATAATTTTATATGTTCTCTCTCCAATTATTTAGCTATTGCAACAAAATAAGTGAATGAAGTTATAAAAATAATTCAGATTTCATCCAATGGACTGGCAATTCATAAGTGAAACTATGAATCATATTAAATAAATTAATACAAGAGTTAAATGCTTTTTTCTATTCCCGTCTGTAGAATAGTAGAAAAAGTATGGTATGCAACATGTTCGATAATAGTATATTATGCAGCAAGTGCGGTACACGGCATTTAAGTCACGAGCCGAGCGCAGCGTTGCGAGTGTTTAATAAATGAGTGACTTAAAAAGTTTACCGAACGTATTGCATACTATACTTTTTCAACGACCGTTAGTTTTTGGGTCTATTTGCGCAAAACAACAAAAATACATTCACTGACAT